AAGAAAAGGGTCATCTTTCACTAAGACAACACACTGACACACAAAAGTGCATTAACGATGATAAAACAGTAGGATTTGGGGTACGGTTTACTCGGCCAACCCCTCATTATCCTGATTTGACATCATCAGACTTCTATCTGTTCCCAGACTTGAAGAAATTTGATTCTGGGGAGTGCATCGCGTCCAATGAAGAATTTGAAAGGGCCATAGATGAATATATTCACAGCGTTCCAGACTCTCACTTCCGGAAAGAAGTACTGATGTTGGAAAAATGCTGGATAAAGTGTATTGAAGTTAAAGGAGTTTATGTAGAAATATAAAATCATTTTGAACTGAAAATCGCAGTCTTTCATGATCAGGACGAGAATTTTTCACCTTACTCTCATAATGTTTAAAGAAAAATTCAGAAGTGAGGAGTTGTTAGAAAGAGTAGAAGAACAAAGGGTGTTATGGAAGTCAACATGAAATAGACGAGATAGGCTGGTACGACACTAAGACTGGAAGGGTAAGTTAGAAACATATTAGAAACATAACCAAGAGTCAAGAGGGGTAGAAGTAGATCTAGTTTCGATTACTGTTAGCAAATTGTTAAAGGTATAGGTAGGTTGCTCTAGTATTCGAGGAATGGGAAAATTTGGTTAAGACATGGAGAAGTGTAGGTACGCATCCAGACAGTCTTCGTCTTCAGAAACCTTATAATCCTCTTGCATGATGGGATAATGTTGAAGAGCAATGCCTTGTTTATGCATGTTAATGTCTTTTTAGTAATCCGATAGAATAAATTACCAATAAAACATAAATAATCACTTTCTCCATTCGCTCTAATTGCTTATGATTCATTTCGAACGTTCCATTTTCTGTGATTGTTCAGATTAGGTAAAGATTGACGTTTAATTTTTTGCGCTTCAGTTATAAGTATGTTACCGAAACCCAACAGAGCTAAAGGGAAACAGATCGAGTTAATGAATTTGTTTCTGGCAGCAATCTGTTTCCAACGAGTGACCTGCAGTGCACGGCACGGGTGCGGTGACGGCTTTCCTCCAATCCCCTGGCGACCGGAGTTACACAGGAGAGACAGTTTTATCCGACATTTGGTTTGGCAGCTCTGTCCTACTACCAAAAAAGAAATGTAGGTATAACGTGACACAGGCGAAGTGGAAAAATTGAGTTTTTGTGCCTCTCTTTATCGCAGTAAAGGTGCATCACTCATGGACAAAGGATTATTCAGGAGGGGCTTTCCTTTGTTTGCCAGTAACGTAACAATTCAGGTGGTCATACAAAGCAAGTTAGAAAATGAGAGACATAATAAATTAGTTGAAAAAAGCAATTTTGACTAATATTCGTTCTCTACCAACTTAGTTTGCATTGCGAATCGCTTTGATACATCAAACGTTTATATACACTTGGAAAGCTTTCGGAATTTTAAAACGAGTCTAAAAGCAGGAATTAATGATTGAATAATTAAGACCAACCGTCTTGTTTAATGCATATGTGCAGTTCGCGCTTTATTGCACCAGTAATGTTCGATCTGTAGGTACTTAAATAACCGTCTTACACTGTTGATTACAATGTGCCCATCATATCACTAAAAGCCTCTATAATAATAGTACAATGAGCGAATGTCCGTTTTAGTGCTATTATATATTCTGATGTGATAACATAATAACGTAATAATATACCAGGTTTGTTCAAAAAGTATTGCGAATGAATACTTATTTTGTCCCCTTCAAAGTAATCCCCAGCGGGTATTATACACTTGTGCCAACGTTTTTATTCAGTCCTCGAAGTACTTCAAAAATTACTTTTTTATGATCCTCCTTCTTCGATACCGTCTTTATCTCCTCAATCGTAGCGTAGGGTCGTCCTTTCATGGGCCTCTTCAGTTTTCCGAACAAGAAAAATTCACAGGAGGGCAGATCTGGGGAGTAAGGTGGCTGCGGCATTATTAGTGTATTGTTTGTGGTCAAAAATTCGCGCACAGTTAACGATGTGTGAGCAGTGACGTTATCATAGTGCAAAAGCCAACTTTTGTTCATCGACAAATCCAAGAGTTTCTAGTGGATTACTTCGAGAAAATTGCTCATCCTTATTGACCATTCTACCCTGTTGCAAGGACTCATAATACACCACGCTCCTGCAATCGAAGATAACTGTAAGTAAAACCTTCACATTCGTCCTAACCTGACGCGCTTTTTTTGGTCTTGACTCGTACGGCAACTTCCATTGGAATAATTGAGATTTGGTTTCCACGCCATAACCGTAAGCCCATGTTTCGCCACCAGATATGACAGAGTCCAACAGCTCCTTTGGTCGACATTGAGCAATTTTGGTACGAATTTCGCGACGACCCGTCTCATACCCAAATCATTGGTAAAAATTCAATGGCAGGAGCTGATCAATATGTTTAGGTCCTCAGAAACTTCTCTAACAGTGATTCGACAATTGGCCAATACTATTTTCTTCACTCCATCAGTGTTGTCTGTTGTTGACATGCTCGGGCGTCCGGCACGCTCTTCGCCGTTCACATCTTCTCGGCTCTCTGAGAACATTTTGTACCACCGGTAAACGTTGCTTCGGTCCAAGGTAGCTTCACCATATGCCATAGTCAACATTCGGAATGCGTCCGCGCACTTAATCTTGTTTTTCACACAAAATTTTATACGTATCCTTTGATCCATTTTTTGGAATACGCAAAAATCGAAGACGAGCTAAAACACGAATTAACTGAACATTCAACATGACCGAACTTGTCGGTATAAGTGAGACACATGAGTACCAACATGACGCCACAAAAAAAATCGAAAATCGAAAGGAAAACGGAACCCGCGGAAATTCAAAATTCGCGATACTTTTTGAGCAGACCTCGTACAATACTGGTTGATTGAAGTAATGTAATAAAACTATTTGCAGTTATATTCAAGTTTATCTTCATCGTACACTTTAATGCGTGCTTATAGATACATTTAAGTCGCATTAGGTAACTGTTATAAGTCATGAACGACTATACATTATTGCAGGGTATTATTTATTATATGAGTCAAACATTTAAAGTCTGTCGTACAATGTTGTCTTGAAGGAAATCTAGTACACTTTTATGTATCGTAAATTTGGGTTATTCAGTTTCTCACTAAATGAACTAGTAAGACTATATTTCCTTTTTTGTGTACTCAGTCTAGGACAGAAGGTAGTTGACAATATGTTTCACTGAAAGGAATGTGTTAATACTACATTTTGTACATATTAAGTGAATTTATTCTTAAGTAAATGTACATGAGTTAGATTAGAGTGGCCTATTCGGAACCTTTGTATGATTACCTCCTCTTTACGTCTGAAATTTGAATTTGAAAATCTTTCGAAGACATCATTTCGAATCTGCTGCAATTTTTTTGGGGGGGGGGATTTTCTAGCCCTATGCTGTTCCATTTCTCAGTGACATGGTCCTTGATTTATTGTCTATCCTCTGGCTTTGGTTAGGGGAAATACTTCAGGATATATGGAATCGATGTCGTCTTTTTTTTTCAAGTTCGTCTGCTTTGTCGTTTCCACGGATGCCAGAGTGAGATGGTATCCAAACTTTATAGTGATGTAGATTAAAAAATTTACAAATTGAATTGAAAATTTTAAAGTCGTCAGTTTTAAGCTTTTCCTCAGTTTAAATTTGAAGGTTTCGTTTCCCATTGTTGAAGTACGGAACCCCGAAAAACGAAAAAGTAAGAATATAAAAAGTGCATGAAAGGTAATAGTTTTCCGAAAATGAGTACATTTGGATCGTAATTAGTTCTCATCAGTACCAACATAAATCATTCTTAATTCGCTTAAAAACAAATTTGACTTCCTTGGCAAGCAAGTTATCACTTGTTTAGAATACCTTGTACACTTTAAGCAAGTGAATTTGAGTTGCAAGAGGTAGATGTGGAAAATCGAATATCAAAAAAGAAACTAATCTGACCTAATCTTTTTTAACCTAAAAATGCCCATCTCTCCACCTCCGACCCACGTTAAATAACTTTATAAACTGATGCATATCATTACTTTGATGCTTCTGTACATCAGAGCACTATGTTCAACTCAAGAAGCTTTGAACAAGCAACTAGATACGTATTAACAAGTACTAAATGTATTTACGACTTTCAATAAGTCTATATTAAAATGATAAGAAGCACATGACACGACAACAATTTTTGAGTTACTTACACAAACTTGATCAGAGTACAGCAAATATTGTACAGGGAGTTCTCCTAATTTTGGATAGTTGCCTAATTTTGGATACTGTGTTATCTCAAAACCCGTTAATTGTTTTTTTGTAAATGAACCCACGAAACGAAAGGTTTGTAACATACATAGTGATCCTATACGAGGGTGGATTGATAAGTTTCCGGCCTAACCAAGAGATGACGCCACTAGGCCTACCTTGAGGTGACATTCTATAGTACCATCCTTGGATAGCTTGTAGCTATAGTTTCAGCCCGATCTCCTTGCTAGTGTAGGTTTGACAGCACG